CAGCTACAGAGATTACAGGTTCTGGGGGTAGCAGAGGAATTTTAACAATACCTGGCCTATTATTATTATTTTTAGCCCAAGCCTTTCAATTTAGAAACCTTACAATCCCCAGTCTTTTACACTTTAACTCAGACTCTTGCAGCTTAGAGTCAGCTTAGAAATTTTACCTTTACAGTGGGGAAGTCACTTGTTTGTTTCTGAGGGCCCTACTGGAGGGCTCTGTTAGGTGTGCCTGCTGAGATTGAAGGTTTCAAACCCCAGTTTTTAAAATGGAGTTGCTTAGGCTCAGGCCTAACGCCATCCTCACAGGGACCCAGAACTCTCCTGCATTGTAAAGCCCTAGGCAGGAATCTCCCTGCCCAAGGCCACACTGAAGCTAACATTGAAATACAAAGGACAGACTCAGCAGGCTTGATAAGAGGCCTAAGGAAAAGAAAAATAGTGTCAATTTAACTTTTTCCTTGGCTACAACACATGCTATCTCCTCCCTGCTCCTCAGGACTCTTCCACCTCTTCTCCTATTACCCATTCATGCATTAAAACTCTTTTAAGGGGAAACTCCACCTACCATTTGCCAAATCAACATCATCAAAAATTTGTGGAGCAGTTTCTTCCACATCCCTTCCACATACAGGAAGGCCCCCTTTCTCCGGGCAACATACACAAGGTTCACAGATGGCTCCTCCTTCCTTCAGGAGGAGTTCATTAGGCAGGGTACACTATAGTCTCTCTAACTTTGTTTGTGGAAGCGGCTCCCCTCCCCAATAATACATCCAATCAGCAGGCTGAACTTATTGCCCTCATTAGAGCCTTCACTTTGGCAAAGGAAGCCAGCATCCCTCAATATCTATACTAACTCTAAATACGCTTTCTACATACTTCTCTCCTACTCTGCTAGTTGGAAGGAGTGCAGATTCCTTACCACCAAGGAAACTTCAATTACTAATGCCCCCTTTATCTCCGATCTCCTTCAGGCCTCAAAGCTTCCCTCTGCCACTGGAACTGAAGGATGGTAGCTAAGTAACCCCCTTCTCTGTGGGCACTTCCTTTCTTGACCTCTCTCTTTGTCATAGGCCTTAAGGGGCTCAATAATAAACAAAAAAGAGGGGAGTATAAGGTCCTTGCTTAGCACCTTGGTGGCCATCTTAAGTGACAGCTGCCATTTTAAGAAAAAGTTTGCTTTCCCACCCCAGGGCATTTCTGAGAAAGGCTCACCACTCCTTCATACCAACCCAACCCTTCACCACCTGCATTAGGACCCGCCTAGCTCTAATCCCTGAGCCTGCCCCATAAAATTCCCCAACCCCAAGCCTGTTTTGCCTCTCTCTGAAAGAATCCCCCACGAAAAGACACTTCGCCGGGAGAATTCCAATTTTATTGCAAAAAGCTGTGTGCTTTTATAGAACTAAAGGGGAGATGGTAGGGCTTAGATAAATGGCAGGCCACCCATTTATTGGCAAATTCTTCCAGATATCAGTTCCCCCGCCCAGGAATTAGTTCTCATTGGGGCTAAGGTTCCCTGCCAGCGAGATTTGAAATTGGCTCTGGTGGGAGAATTCACAAGGGTGGGAACTTTTCGCGCCACTGCAGAGAAGAAGGTAGGAAAAAGAAGTCCTTAGGCGCCATGTTGGGGTTTTTTTCTCTGGGGTACGGCTGCCGTTTATACTTTTCCCAACACTCTCCATCTATGGAGAGATTTGCCTTTATTTGTCAGATCTGACAAATAAACTCTCGTATGTGTCTCTACCTGGTCTCTGTCTTTCATTTCTCGCTCACCCGTCTCCTAGTTCTTCACTTTCCTTTCAAAGATCTTGCACACTAGGGGATAAAAATGCTGATTGTAGGACTGGGATTGTGGCTCAGTGATAGAACGCTTGCCTGTCATGCAGGAGGCACTGGGTTCGATCCTCAGCACCACATAAATGTAAAATAAAGGTATTGGGTCCACCTAAAAACTAAAGAAATAAATATTTTTTAAAAATGCTGATTGTACCAACTTTGGGTGTGACTGTTTCAAATACTTGATCTTTCAAGATTGTCAGTAAAAGCTTCCTTTTTTATTTTTATTTTTTAAACATTTCTTTAGTTGTAGATGGACAGAGTATTTTTATTTATTTATTTACTCATTTTTATGTGGTGCTAGGATCGAACCCAGTGCCTCAGGCATGTGAGGCAAGTACTCAATCACTGAGCTATAACCCCAACCCCAAGGCTTGTTTTTTCTATATCTTATGTATCTTAGTTCATTCTTTGCATTTGGACAGTTGAGTATGTTTCTCACAGTTAGGCTAGCCCCTTTTCCCTCACCTCCTATTCGTCAAGGAGCTATATGAATTTGTCACAGTCTGGTGTTAACTATTAGGTCGGGAGGCAACTTGGTGGCGACTTAGTGGCAACTTAGAACAATGCAGCCCACACAGGAAAAGAACATCAATCAGATGCCAGCAAAAACGCCTGTCAATCAGCCAGATCTCCTGACTAACGCCTGTCAATCAGTAGGACCCCCTGGCCAATCCTGGAGTTCAGCCAACTCCCCTGACCAACTCCAAGGGGGCAAGGGACCCTAGAAACACCTTTTCCTGTCCCAAGCCCTTCCCTTCCTGCTGTAAGCCCCATAAAAGTCCAGTCCGGTGGAGCTTCCACGCGGTTTCTCCTCAGACCCTTCTCCTGTCCTCTCTGTGGGTCTGATCGAGTTCCGCCCGGGAGTGATATCTCAATAAAGCCTGTTCAGCGGCCCTTTTAAATCTGCCTCCTTTGGCCATTGCTTGCCCCCACTGATCTGACATCTTGATCTTGGTGCCGACACTTGGGAAGGGATCTTTGGGCTTCTCCCTCAGGGGATTGAAGCCCATCCCTTCCCCCTTGAAATGAACCGGGAAATTTCTAAGCAGCTCTTTCCCTCTCCCTTCATCTGGGCCCACAGGAGTGGGGTAAGTTCCTCCTTTCCCGTGACCTTCCAAACACTTTCTGTCTGTCCACGGGGTGTATCCATAAGTCACACACGTGCCATAGGCCCTGCCCGTTCTGTTCAGGGCTCCGGGGACTGTGGAGATGTTCCAGTCCTCCTGAGAGTCCCCCGCCAACCAGGTTGGCCAACCGCTGGGGCCTGTGGAGGCTGTAGGGATGCCTCAACCTCCACCCTGGCCTGTATCTGTCTGTAGGTGAGTGCGGACAGAATTTGGGATGTCTTCTTCTGCTCCCACTCACCCCCGAGGGTGCCAGAAAGTCATGGGAAACGCAGAGTCCTCTCCTTAGACCCCAAAGTCCTTTGGGTGTCTATATTCAAATTTTGCCAAGTTAGGGCTCATTCAAGAACCGCCTGGTATTTTACTGCACTGAGGCAATGGGTCACAATGGCCCCCAGAAGGAACTGTTGATTTTAAACCCTTACTGAATTGGACAATTTCTGTCACCGGACAGGGAAGTGGGAAACAATGTTCAGGCTTTTTGAGATTCGCTCCCGTCCTTCCCTCTGCTCTTCACATCTGCTCTCCCTCCCAGTGGTACCTTGTCCCCTCCCCCTCCCTGCTGCCACCTTTGCAGCTGCTGCCTGCAGCCCTTTCTGC